GGGAGAGTTGCTTTCCTATTTTGAGAGCAATATCTATGCTACACATGCAGAGCCAAAGCCTTCTGATCCAGCAGGCTGAATACATACTAGTTATTCAAACTCAAGAACGTGTGCATAAAAGGAATTTCATACAATTAGTCTCTGTTGTCCTCCTCATTTTATACTCTCTGTCAAGTTCTCATTCCAACATTGCTACATTACACACTCAGACCCATCTTTCTGCCTCCCACAAGGCCTTCAGTAATATAAAAAACATTAGACAAGCAGGCAAGAATGTTTAAAAAGAGAGTATTTGTACAAACCACTGCTCTATCATTTAGTCAAACAGGCTCAATTCATAGATCATTACAGCAAAGCAAAATCAAGTGAAGCGCAATGAAAAGGGGTAACACTGTTCCGCTCGCAATATTAGAAACCGTGTGACAGTTTTCTGCCAAACTAATGTAATGGAACACAGTTATGATTTTATAAAGAAAAATTTTCACACTATTTTAGCAGACTCCCTCTAGATAACATGTAAAAAGATCTCATGGAGTAAAAAAAATGGTATTCTCAATAATACCTCTGCATACCTCCACTTGTGTATATTTTATTTGTTAAACAACTGACAGAAGTTTTTAACTTAAACTTGAAACCAAAGGAGAGTGCAAAGTTACCTGAGGAGGTCTGTGCAAGGAACTGATCCTAGTTTCTGAGAAATGGGATGAAAACTTGTACTGCACAGGGGCAAAGTTAGTTCCAAGAAAGCATTAAAGAAAAGCTGTATAAGTTACTGGCGATGTATGGCTCATATTGTGACCGAGAAAGAGCAGAGATAACTGACTTCCTCTCAAAGAAGGACCTTGTTTCAGCAGTTCCTTTCACATATTCACACAGCACAAACGTTACAGCTTCGGACAGTGCAAGCACAGAAAAGAAGCAGCACAGAGCTCGGGAAGGTCCACGGCAGAAGAGATCATTCAGCATCCCCACAGCCCCACAGGAAACCTCCTGTCACTGAGGCAACACTCTTTCCCCTCTTTCCTAGCCTGTCCAATTATTAATTTGGGGTGGGTTTTGTTGGGTTGGTTTTTTTTTTTTTCAGCTGCCGGAGCATTTCATAGGGACACAACATGGAAAACTGCCAGGCTTCCCAGAGCCAACTCCGAGTAGGTCAGTCTTGGCTCAGCAGCAGACCACATAGCACAGCAAAAGGAAACACGAGGCCTTGAACTCACGCCCATCTTCCCTCTCGTCCTCCATACACACACCCTAGATGCAGATTTTCCTTGATCGCTAAGGAATAGTAATTCACTGGTGGCCAACATCATCTCCACTGGAGACTGTGATAGCTGCCAACAGGCCCTATCCATAAGCAAACACAGGACTGCTCAGATTAAAACTATGCAAACCCAGAAGTTAAGATGCCAAACTTTACCATTAGTGTGTATTTCTGGCTTCCTTCAGACGTTATGGGAAGTTACACAGTAACTATAATGGAGATTTCTTATTTGGAGCTGCCAAGCTAATGTCAATCTAAAATCAGGGCCGGTGAAGGAGGGAAGTTGGTGATAGGAACTTCCCTGTTCCCACAGCCGTCTTCAGATGCTGCAGCACGGGGCATCTCAGCCTCCAGCCCTGCTCCCGAGCCAGTTCCATCTCAATTTGCTTCGGTGTCAGGGTGGTGATACCACTATACTGGTGATAAACAAACCCCGAGGACAGGGTCCCTCAGGGAACAAGTAGGAAGGAGCCTGAAGTTACAGCGTTTGCTTCACCTTCACGCAAACGAATCATAGAATCATTTAGGTTGGAAAAGACCTTTAAGATCATCGAGTCCCACCAAATGACTCCTGGTCTTCAGTTAATTGCTGGCTTTAGTGCAGGCTGATATCCTGGCCACACATCACCTGCCACTTTTAATTCATGTAGAAAGCAGAGCCCATGTATGCTATCGACAGCCCTAAAGAGTGATGCATTATCCTTTGCTCAGGAAGGGGGACAGCAAATAAATCAGAGAAATATTACTTGATATGTAGTTACCAATATTTAAAATATTCTACAGAAACCCTCCGCATCACTACACTAAGCAATCCATGAGGAATTGTAGGGAAAGTGAATGTATCAGGGACACGGCTGCTTCCCTGTTATCCAGAGAAACAGCTTCCTGATAGTTCTTCTTAAATAATCATTACACAACCATGCACAAAATACTACAAGATTGCAAGAAACATTTAGTCATTTGATCAGCATAACAACAAATCTGTAAAGACAGATTCACAGGCCAAACCCAAGTTTCTTCCTAAGGGTGAAACAAAAGCAAAAAAGGATGTGCCAATCCTTCCACACCTCATCCTTTGACAGTAACTACTCTACGCCATCTGGCTATTAAGGATTGTCAGCACTTGAAGAATATCCATGATGCTTTCCTGACCACTCTTACAGGAAAGGAAAAAGAACAGAGTCCTAGAAAATCCAACAGACATACTATGAAGTGAAAGCTATCACCCTGGCTGTGTTTTCTTGAGGGAAAAATGCTTCAGCTGTGCTTGACGTGTTTCTTAGAAAATCTGTATTTTGAAAACAGCGAAAATTCCTGAATAGGTCTGGGGATTAAGGTGTTGGACTTTGACTGAGCAAGGCCCTCACCCTGCACACAGCTCTTAGTGCACAACACGCTGGAGCAGACAGAGCTCTCTTGAAGACCTGTGCAAGTTAACAGAAATCAACAGCTAAATTTACCTATTCGGCATTTCTTACAGAGGGGTTGAAGACAGCCTGAATTTGCCCTCTGAGGACTTCTTAAGGCCTAAAGGAATCACTTCTCTTAAAAGCAAGAAGAGCGGCTGACCCGTCCCACCATCCAGCTCCTGGTGTGGGGCTCCACTCCCCCACCTCCAGCTGCTGGCTGGGAACACAGAGGCACAGGGCTCCCAGGGCAGAGTCATTTTGCCAGGGAAGGTGCACAGGCACATGGCAGATACAACCACAACTCCTCCCACGGGCTGAGGGCTGGCGCAGACCCCAGAGGAGCGGGGGCTGGCTTGGGAGACAGAGCTCCCAGCGAAATGCATTTAACACATTCCTGCGCAGCTTCTGCTGATACCGTTCCTATGGACAGTTGAAGCTATTCTAGCTAAAAACAAACATCCTTGCCAGGCTAGGTGCCTTCACTGAAAGAAGAGCACGCATTTTACAGAAACAAAGATAAACTGAGCTCACTGTCTTCTACAGAAGTATTTCTGGTGTGATTTCGTTCCATTGTATCTGCTTAGATAGTTAACAAAACCAGAGCTACTGGGGCAGGAATGTATTTACGTGTTTTTATCCAACATGTTGCATTTTTAAATGCTTAGTTGGGCTTTCTAGACCTTGGCACGTGTATTAAACCATATAGCTACCACCTCTCATTAGCACAGGAACTGGCACCTTCTCGGCTGCTTTTACTTATTTGATCATTTAAAAAGAGGCTTTGAAATGGGGTATTAAGATACACTGAAGAATTATTGTATTAAACAAGCATAATGATGACAATTTATTACACCTCAGGCATTTTTTATAGATTCCTTCCTAAAAATATTAATAAGCATACTCAGTAAAGGCAGAATTTACTGTTGAATATCACTATTCTTTGTATCTTTTATCATTAAAAATTAAAGCTAAAAATACGCGTACACCCCTCCCGTTGCATACTCGCTCCACATTCAAATAGAAACCCCCAGACAACCAACATAAACAACTGTGATGAATGCTTCAATCTCCAATGGGCAGTGGGATGAACACCATAAAAAGAAATTAAGACTTACTATTTTTCCACCTCCCCTCAAAACACAAGAGTCTAAACCAACTCCTGTTTGGTCAGTTGTGACTTTGTAAACTCTGTATCTCCCAAACCACACGCTGCCAGGAATAGCATAAATCTCAAAAAGCAAGGATTACAAAATCATTTTGGGGTTTTGGTTGGCTTTTTTTTTTTTTTCTTCTTTTGAGAACCCCAACATACATCCTTACAAGGAGAAACAGTTCAATCTGCTTTCAGCTTTCAAAAACTAGCAGAGATCTATTTATTCTGCTGGGTATACACCGAATGTTTGAACAAAAAAAAAGTTAGTCATAGGTCAGACAATACAGCTCGCTATGACTACACCCTTTGCTTGAAGGAAAACCTAGAGATCAATTTTCTATTTCAACCAGCTGATTTTTTTTTTTTTTTTTTTCCTCTAAAAAACAGCTTCCCATCTGACATCTAACCGAATGTTTTCCTGGCTGCTGAAAAATCCTACCATTGGTCAGGCTTTGCAACAGGCACATCCCATACACCTGGTTCGGGAGGCACTGATGCGCGCTCAACTCCTCAACCCCGCCACTTCTACAGGGGGAAAAAAATAAAAAATAAATATATATAAATTCAGGGGAGAGCATCTGTCAGGCCGCATCCTGGGGCCACAGAGTTACGGGAGCGCAACACCAGGTTAACAGTTTGCAATTTGCTTCGCTCCTGGACTCCACGGCAGCCCTCCATTTTGTCAACTGCCTCGATTTAAACCTTTTCTAAGTTGAAGGTAAAACTTCCAACGTTTCTTCGGGAGCCCTCCGGGGCTTTAAAGCATCCTCGACCATTTTAAGCAGTGGGAAGCCTGTTCGGAGCCAGCACTGTTTACTAAGTTTAGAAAGGCAGGCGCGCACGCCGAGGCTGACCAGCAGCCTCCCCACACATCCCCTGCAGACGGTTTCGGGGGGCGCTCAACAGTCCGCGCCCTCTTGCTCATCCCCTCCAGCGGCGAGCTGCCCCCCTGCCCCGCACAAAACCCGCCCGGCTTTCTCCCCCCTCTCCCCTGCCTTTACCAGCAGAGGCAGGTGGCTACCGGGAGGTGAGAAAGGACGAGGAAGAGGAGGAGGAAACAGCCGGAGCCTCCGCGGGCAGCAGGTTGGGGGAGCGCGGGTCGGTGTCGGTCCCGGTGTCGGTCCCGGTGTCGGTGTCGGTCCCGGTACCTCCCCACGCCCCTTCCCCCGTTCCTTACCACCTGCGCAGGCGGCCGGAGCCTGCCCGGGCCGGGGCAGCGACCTGTCG